GTAAAAATGGGGGATTACATTTGGTTTACATTTATAGTAAAGCAAGGGCATTTTAGTAATTTTAGGGGCTCTGGAGCATTTTCATAATTTTGGAGTTAAGGCCATTTTTTTAAGTCCTTATGTTAAAAATAAGTACTTATTGCATTTGGCACTTATTTACATTTGGCACCCAGCTTTTTCAAGTGCTTATTTTAAAAAACAAGGACTTATTTTATATTGGACGTTTGGTGGTCTTTTCCTCCAATTAAGCACTTGTGACTCTTTTGTCCTTCATTTTCTTTCAAAGGCTTAATTTGGAAGGAGTACAAATGCAAATATGTATAGTACAAATACAAACAAAATAATACAAAATACAAGGTTTTGCACTCTACATATTTAAATTTGTACTCCTTCCAAACTGAGCCAAATTTTCAAAATATCCAATCAAAAGTGAATGAATAAAAGTAATTTGATAGAACTGCTTTCGTAAAAGTGTTTTCATAAAAGTACTTTGATAAAAGTACTTTGATAAAAGTACTTTGATAAAAGTACTTTTGTAAAAGTGCTTTCATAAAAGTACATTCGTAAAAGTGCTTTTACAAATGTACTTTCATAAACGTATTTTTATAAAAGTACTTTCGTAAAAGTGCTCTTATAAAAGTACTTCCGTATAAGTACTTTCATGTAAAAATACTTTTATAAAAGTGCTTTCATAAAAGTGTTTTTATAAAAATACTTTTATAAAAAGTGTTTTCATAAAAGTGCTTTTACAAAAGTAACAATGTTGTTGCTAAAAGTAACAATATTGAAAGGGTATAAATTGGTATTCTAAAAATTAATGAGGACAATTCTTAAAGAAAAAATTTGAATAAGTGCTTATTGTATAAGCACTTAAAAAAAGCTGGAAATTTGGGCTTAAAAAATAAGCCCTTATTTTTAAAATGAGCTCTTATTTTGAGTTTAATTCCTAAACACCAATAAGTGCTTAATGGTGTAGTCCCAACCCAAATAAGCACTTATTTAAGCACTCCCAAACATGGCCTCAGAGGGCAAAATTGAAATTCTAATTGAATAGCAGGGATTCTTGGGTCAAACCATGGAGAGTGGAGATGGATTTGAGTATACACGGTAGTTTTGTGTGTATAGGCCAATGATATTGGCCGAAATAAAATCTTTTTAGATAAGTGGGCAATCATGGGTATTTTTTGCTAGAAATTGGCATGTAGGGTTTTTGGGCCTTTTGGATTGATTGCTTGGGTCAGATTGGCCCAACTGGACAGGGATCAGACAAATCTAAAGAGATGGTAATTCAATCAATCTAAAGCTTCAAAACAGAATCATGGTGTAATGAAATGACAAACAAAGGTATTGTTTGTTGAAATTTGACAGTGAAGGGTTTTTTTGGCATTCTGGATCAATGGTGAAGTTTGATTGGTTCAAGGAGGTTGTGGTTATAAGAATTTAGGTCAACAGAGGGTCCAAAATGGAACCTTGATTTGATTGAGGGGTGAACAAAGGAATTTTGAGTTGAAAATTTGTAGGCAAGTATTTTGGTATGGTCCATATTTCAATGGTATGGTCTAATTGGTTCGAAGGTGTTAGGATCAAGGGGATCTAGGTTATGGGTGTTTAGGTTAACAAGGGGGCTCAAAGGGAATCTTTGCTTGATGGAATGGTAAATAGAGGATTCCTAGGTTAAAATTTCATGGGTAAGTGTTTTAGCATGTTTAGAGTTTGATGGTGGTGTCTGATCTAAAGGTCAAGGCATAGTAAATGGGGGTTAATTGAGGCCATCTGATTATTATCGAATAGATTTAACGATGGTTCAAAGGGCTTCTAGTTTAAATTTTGGATTTTTTTTTAGTTTTTTTAGTGTTTTAGAAAGATCAGAAAGGTCTGATTGCGTGTTAGGAGTAATTTTTGGGTTCAAGCGGTGGACCGAGCAAAAATCGGGTGTTGATACCAACAAACCAGGGAAAGGACTAGAGGCCATTATCAGTTATTTTTATTCCCCAGATGTCCTTACTATTATTAACATTGCTAGTTAGCCCATTAAGTTGATCCATTGGACCTTCTTCTTTGTTAAACCAATCAAATTCACAAGATTTTTTTCAAAGGATTTTAGAAAAAAGGAAAAAAAAAAAAGAAAAGAAGAAAAAGAAAAAGAAAAGAAAAAAAGAAGAAAAAAAGAGAATTAAAAAATAAGGAATAGGAATGAGAGATGGGAAAGCAGAGGGCTACCTCACCAAGAGTAGGATTACTCTCATTTGAGTAACCTCAAAATTTTCAAGTGTTGAAGTTGTTAAATAACATAAATACCCTTGAAACAATTAAACTCAAATTTTGCTTGATAAGTAATTCTTCCCTATTGGTTATGCATTTAGTGAAGAAATGATAGGAGGCCCTTTTTTGGTTGTTTGCTTTATCCCTTTTGTTTTAAATTCTCTTTTATTTCATTAATCCACTAGTTATACCCCTTTTTGACCTTTGCAATAGTCATTGGGAACCCTCCCAAGAGGCGAACACCAGATATTCATAGTGCATAAAGAGATGGAAAGAAATGAATGTGAAAAATTAAGGTAGATAAATGAATTAAAAAGCTGAAGAAAAAGAAAAAGGAAAGGAAGTTACAAAGATAAACCAGGGTAATCAATTATTGTGGAAAAAGAAATGAAGAGCAAGTAAGAAAAAAATGGGGTAGATATGATGGTCAAATTGATAAGTTTTTCTCCAGAAGTGACATCTATGTTCATTTTTCATTCCAACCTTACCTATTTACATTTCGTCCTAGAATAAAGTCCTTGATTAATCGGGTGTACAACCCATAGTATTGAAAGACATGAAGAGTACTTTCTCATTTGTGACTATGAGAGTGTTAAATTGAGAAGAAATAAAAGCACAAGAGCATATCCTTGAATAAAGCCCTAGATGTCAATTAAAGCATTCGATGCATGTTGTAGTTATGTTTCTTAAGCCTTTTATCCTTCATTTTGGAATCCCCGTCCTAGGCCACGTTTTGTCCTAATCAGAAGTCATCCTCGATTCTTGAGAAATTGGCAATTAGCACTGGACAAACCTAGGTGGACTAGCAAGGAAGGAATTAAAAGTGATACTGAAAACCCAGAAGGGCACCCTAAAGAGTGGAATTGAGGAATTGTTAAAAAAAATGAGAAACAAAAAAAAGAGGGAAAAATAAGAGAAAAAGAAAAGAAGAAAGTCAGACCTGATTATTCTTTAAAACCATAGGCAAAAGGACTCACGAAAGATCTCATTCAAAGCACAATGCATGAAGGAATTAGTATTCAAGCAAGTTGAGTGTTCAATCATCTAAAGTGTGGTGGAATTATCACTTAACCTAGTTTGAGCACGTCTAATTTTTTTCCTCATTTGAAGCTTGCCATAAGCAATCTTTTTAATGAGTCATTAGCTTTACTACCTTAAACTGAGCAATCATTCTCTTTGTGACTCACCTTTTTTTATTGATCTAGACTAGGACAACCCCCTTCCAATGGGTGTTTTCTTGATGTGAATCTTTGATTGGCAATGTTTGCATAACCAATGTTTATGTCTTTGAAGTTTGAATTGTTATAATCATTGCTTTCCAAGAAAAAGGTGGTTGCTTTTGTTTTTCATTCAAGTTTGGGATAGTTTTGGGATAGTCTTCAGTTGATAAAATTGTGAGTTTTGTTGATGTCCTAGTATATAATGGATTTTTCTATTGCATCACGGCATATCATGCTTTTATCATTATATGTATTTTATTTTAAAACTGCATCATAGTTTAACATGATTTTTGCTAAGTTTTCAACATATAATTGATTTTCAATTTGCATCACGGCATAACACTTTTTATCATCATAAATGTTTTAAAAATTAATAAATTAACATGAGTTTTATTCATTTCCCAGCATATAGTGGATTTCCAATTTGCTTTGCAACATAACACTTTATCATCATAAATATTTTAAAATTTTCATCATAGCTTCGCATGAGCTTTGTTGATATCCTGGCATATAGTGGATTTTATGATTACATTGTAGCATTTCGCACTTTTATCATTATAAGTATCCTATTTTGAAATTACATCATGGTATAACATGAGTTTTTGCTAATATCCCAGGATATAGATTTTTCGATTGCGTCGCAACATATCACACTCTTATCATTATGAGTATCTTATTTTGAAATTGTATCATGGCATAACATGAATTTTGTTGATATCCCAACATATAATGGATTTCTTTTTTACATCATGGTGTATCGTGCTTTTTACATTTTAAGTATCCTATTTTGAAATTGCATCATAACAAAATATGACTTTTATTGATTTCCTAACATACATTAGATTTTTCAAATGCATTGCTACATATTGCGCTTTTAACATCATAAGATCCCTATCTTGAAATTGCACTATAACATAACATGAGTTTTGCTAATTTCTCGACATATAGTAATTTTTCGATTGCACCATTGCTTAACATGACTTTTGTCGATATCTCGATATACAATGGATTTTCTAATTTGTATCATAGCATAACGTGCTTTTGTCATCAAGATTATTCTATTTAGAGATTGCATCATGGCATAGCATGAATTCTTGTTGGTTTTCCAACATATAATGGATTTTCTTATTACATCATGGCATATCGTACTTTTATCATTATGAGTACTTTATTTTGAAAATGCATCATAACATAGTATGATTTTTGTTGATTTCTTGACATATAGTAGATTTTTCGAGTTGTATCACAACATAATGTGCTTTTTTCATCCTAAATATTTTAAAAATTGCATCCTGACGTAACATTATTTTGTTAATTTCCAGCATATAATGGATTTTCCGATTTTCATTATGGCATAATGCACTTTTTCATCATAAATATTTTAAAAATTACATCATGGCATATCATAAAATTTATTGAGTTTCTGATATGCAATAAATTTTCCGATTGTATCATGTCACAACATAATTTTTTGTTGATCCATAGTGGATTGTTATTTGCATTGTGGCATAGTGCATCTTTTATTATTGAGTATGTTTGCATCATGGCATAGCATGATTCTTACTAATTTTCAATCTGATTACACCGCAGTATACGTACACTTCATCATCATCAGTGTTCTTATTTCCAATCATATCAAAGCATATCATGATTTAAAAAAAATAAAATTAAAATAATAAAAAGAAAGAAAAAAAATGATAATGAAAGTTTGATAGGAGTTCCTTCACCTTTTTCTAAGCATGTAATAGCATGTCCAGCAACATCACAACCTTTGATAATCCTACTTTTGTGTTGAATTTGCAAATTCCCCATCATCCCTAAAGAGCACAAATAGAAATGATGATCTCACACACCTAACTCGAGGCATCATATTAATCATGCATTATCATCTTAATGATAATCTCACACACCTAAATGCATAATCCTTTGCACTGCCATTGAAGGATGCTTCTCACCTAACAGATTGTCCTTGAATGGAAGGATGCTTCTCACCTAACAGAAGAGTAGTTATGCACTGCCATTCAAGTCTTCAAAATGTTTCACTAAAATTTAATTAAATGATTTCAAAAAAGAGAAGTTGAAAAATATTGAGCATTTTTGCAGTTATTCTTTGCAATTATATTTTCAATTAAATGTTTTCCTTTACAAAAAATATACCCTAATTTTGTAATGTTCCTTGATACCTACAAAAGTTCATTTTGCCAAAAATAGTTAATTGTCACATGATGAGTTACTTTTAATGTTATTTTCTATTTGTCTTTAAATATCTTTTCTTTATGGTAAATATGCCCTAATTCCATAAGGTTCCTGATACCTAGGAGGGGTTAGTTTGTCAAAAAAACTAAATGGTTTCACATGATAAATTACTTTTAATGTGTTTTACCATTTGTTTTAAAATGTTTTTATTTACAGTAAATGTGCCCTGATTCTCTAAGGTTTCTTAATACCTAAGAGGGGTTACTTTGCCAAGAATAAATGGCATGTACACAATGGAATGATTCTATACAGGAACCCTTCTTTCTTTCACCTTAATCTTCTTTCCCCACTCAACCATCTTCCAAATATTTCCTTCACAAAAATCTTTATGTGCTTCTTTTGGGTCTTTGTTGTTTTTTAGCATGTTACATCACAACAAAGGGGTAACTATCAACATTTGATTTTTGCTTGATCCGTTGCTTGGACCCCCAATTAACCCAAAACACCCAATCAGACCATTCCAATTTCTTCAAAACAACGAAAAACCCAAAGAACCCAAATTTCAACCAAAAAGCCCCCAAATTCACTATTAAATCCACTCAATACCAATCTGATGGCCCCTATTAACCCCCCACTCACCTCGACCCTTAGATTAGACACTACCATTAAATCTCAAACCTCCTAAAACACCTACTCATGAAATCTTAACCCAAGATTCCTTCATTTACCTCTCCATTAAATTAGAATTCCATTTTGAACCCTCTCATTAACCTAAACACTCGTAACCCAAATGCCATTGATCCTAAGATCTTGAAACCAATTAGACCACATCATTGAACCCTAGACACACAAAACATCTACCCATAAAGTTTTAACCTAAAATTCCCCCATTTATCCCTCTATCAAACTGGGATTCCATTTTGGATCCTCTCATTGACCCAAATTTCCATAATCTTGACCCTCCTAAACCAATCAAACATCGCTATTAGATCCCAGACATCCTAAAATCCCTACCTATAAAATGCCAGTCCAAAATACCCTTATTTTCCCTTTTTTTAAGCCCCAAAATTTACTACTGGTTGAGGAGTAGCCACCAAAATTTTATTAATATGCAGAAAACCTTAAGGGGGGATGTAAAGCCTTACCCCTCGCTCTATACAAAGGAAGCTTGGCTAATATAAACATAAAGTGTCCAGGCCCTTTATTTTTCCCTTCATTGCACCAAGATTCTATTTTGAAGCTCTAGATTAACTGAATCACTACCCCCTTCAGATCTACCCTGTTAAATTTCAACTGAAGATTCCATTGTTCTCCCCTCTATACAAAAAGATTCTATTTTAGTCAATATCATTAGCCTACACACATAAAAGCACTGTGTATACTTAGACCCATCCCCACCCTCCATATTTTTAACCCAAAATCTCCACCATTAAACCAAAATTTCAGTTTGACCCTCTTAAACCTAGAAATACCAAAATACCCATAAAATACCAAAAATTTACTAAATTGTCCATACTTCCTCCATATAAATTTAACCTAATGTATTCAAAATTATTCTAATTTTGAGAGAGATCATTGTTCATCATCTTCTTCCTCTCAAGACAGATCCAAATGAAATCCCCTATTGCATTGAACAAGTTTAGGCCAAAATCCATCATTGCTTTCATGTCTCGACTCCCCACTTCTACTAATTTACTCCTCAACTGCTTCTTCGTGTGTTTCTATCTCATCCACTATGTTTAGGATCAATAGAAGATTTGTTGTATTTTTGGCTTTTCTACTAACTATTTGATTTGCCTAAGCTTGGTGTTTATCTCAACCATGTATCCATTTACTGCCTATTGTACCTGCTATATGTTATATGCCTACATATATATTTTGTTGTTTTTGTTGTTAGTTGTCTACTTGCTTTAGTGTAATGTATTATTGCCTTTTTTTACTCAACTGAATCAGACAGTTTGAATTGTGAAAACCCTTCAGTTCAACTCCTTAGGAGTGTAATGGACAAATCTACATCTGTTGTTATAATAAAGGCTTGGGAAGACTAAAGGGATGGGAGGATCCATCATATGGATGGCCGAACCCTACAAGAAGGTTAGGCGAAATTTCAAAAATTTCTCTCTCCCATCCGGGAATCATTTTCCCTAATTTAGAAAATTGTATTTTCAATGTTTGTTCTTGAATCATAACCGGACTGGGTCTGAAACCAAAAGGGAAATAAGGGATATACCTGATACAGAATCCACGCAAAAAGCTCCTCCCAACCCAGGTGTTCACGCCCAAAGAATGTACCAAATCCTCCCTCCACTGAAGATGACACAACATAGGATGAGGTAGGATCAGCAAGTAGTTCTTCAGCAAGAATTGAATGGAGTAATGAGCATAGCTCCAAATATGTTTCTTCTAGCAATAAACAATATCAAGATCAAATCTTGATCAGTTCCAAGAAATGGAAATCAAACAGGGTAGGGTGGCAACAATAAAGAGAGAAAACTGGAGGCAAAAACAGTCAAACTATGTAAGCTTTTTCAAGTTCACCCGGCTTTTTATGTATATCCCTTAAAGAGATAATCTCCTAATCTAATTAGGAGTTTTTTGATCCAAATCTTTATTTAGATCTGAACTCTTTAAGTGATAAGGATAATACATTATCTTATCTATAGATCAAGATCATCTACTCATAATCAAATTATAAGTTTCCTGATCCAAATCTATATTTGGATCTGAACTCTTTAATTGAACTCTTATCCTTATTTGTTGATTCATACCCAGATTTGCCCTATTTAAATAATCCAATTGACCCAGATTTGCCTTATCTGTTGAACTCTTTAATTGAACTCTTATCCTTATCTTTCAAGCTCACTTCCTTTTAATGCTGGCTAACTTGGCTCTCTTTGTATGGTGTGGGACTCTATCATTGATCTATACATCAGCCACATGGGTTCAGTCCATCCCTAATTACAATGCTTGGCCGAATTCACTATAGGACACAGTGAACCCCTGAGTTCATCACCATGGACTGTTAATGAGCCCAACATTTACACTAAATGGTCATTGAGTCCAATCATCTTATGAAGGCCTAAGGACTGTGGGCAGATGTAAGATTAGCCCATTAGGTATAACCCTCAATGATTTTACACTTATCCTCTCAATCCTTAATGATCAAACACTGCCCGATAAGAGAGAACATCTCCCTCGGCTGTAAGGTACAGTGCTGCACTCTCTACTCACATGGATCCCAAGAATTAAAACATTTTGCAAACAATTTGTGAAAACATAATATATATCTCTATATAAATATATTTTGCAAAATCAAATTTCAAACAGAGAGTGCAACACTATTTCCATTAAAGAAAATGCATTTCCCCGATCATTCGCTTTCTCCAACAAAATGGCTAATCTTCTCACTATGATCACCCACTCAGGTGAATTTTCGGGCTATTCCAACATACTCAGGTTTTGATTTCCTCTAAGGATCTCACTGATTGGCATATCAAAGACAACCAAATCCGACACCTAGTGTAGTACCATAATCGAGTCTAGGAGTCAGGTGTAACATTCTAGTTTTGCCCATCTATCTCCAAGGTCTAAGGCAATACTGGAATTTGGTCCGGTTCAAAGTTTCAAAAAAACACACTGCATGTACCTCAGGTCTCACCCTAGCAGTTGAGACAAACCATCCCAACTAACTTGGTGGCACATCAGTGTCAGCCTTAGTAGGATAAATCTCCCCAGATCTATCCAATGGTTGTGAAGATTCTAAAATAACACGAGTTTCATATGTATCAAGTTTAAGGGCATTACATAAAAACACACCACAATAACATGAATCAAATATGTATTTTATTCATTTACCATAAATGTCACAATGTACATCAAATTGATTGGAACTAAAGGCATACATCGTCTAACAAAGACTGCAAGCATAAGAATCCGAGTCACAAGAGCTCATCACATAAGATTAATACAATACTAATAAAAAAGGGGGAAATGATGTAGTCACAAAAAAGGAGAGAAATGATACTGGAAAAGCTTTAACCAATCAAAGCACCTTCTTGAATTTTGATTAATACCACTTGATTGATCGCCTCTTTTATGATATGAACTAATTGGCTATAAGTTTTTCCTATATCATATCTTTTCAGTATTGAATTTGTTTTATTTTTCTACCAAAAAAGGTAAAATATAAAATCATGCCCTAAAGTTTATAACAATCATAAAAACCTCCATTTTGAAAATACTTGTAAATACGTTCCTTCAATCATTTGTATTAGAGACTAAATTAGCCTTATTAGTTATTACTCATTAGGACATATTTCTACATAATTCAAAATATCAAATTTTCCCTTTCAAATTTCATTAGTTGACAAGTTAATAGAATAAAATTATCTTACTTTTTTCACTTTGACCTATGAAACCTTTTCAGTTAAAAGTTAAAGGGTAAAATATAAAACCTCCCTACTTTTTTGACAATCATATAAACCTCCCCTGGGTTTTGACTATAACAAAACCCCCATGTAGTTTTAAAAAATATATATATATACAATTTCCTCCCTTTTGTTACAAATAATAGTGACATGATATATTATCATTTTCAAAATGCTAGATCTACCCTTCAATCTATCCTTTCATATGTAAATTTACAAAAATACATGGCATAAGATAAACTAAACAAGAGACAAATAGGCATATAAAATCCCTAATGACTTCACTAATACAGTATTAAATGCACAACTATAATGATGCCTGTGAGCGTCAGGAAACCGGCTCACTTGCCACTTAGGCGGGAAATGGAGTTGCCACCCATCAAGCAAATGAAAGGGAGGTGATGGGACCTCTGGGATTTACATCAGATAAGTGTTTTGATTCATTAGTGACTCCAATAGCTTGAGGCATCAGCTAACCAGTCTGGGTAAGACTTGGATGGGAGAGGGAAGGGATTAGGCACCCCTCTCCCGAGTCCGATAGGTGGGGCCCACATGAGATACCAAACAAAAATAATCACAAATTCACAATCAATCAACATAAAAAAAGAATCAATTTCAAGAATAAACCAACATAGAAGACAATCTTCCCTATCTACTTTTTTATTTTAATTTTGTTTTCTCTATTTTCATCTCTTATTTTTATTTAATTTTATATATTTTTTATTTTCTCTCCCCTTCATCAATTTTATTTCTTTTATATTTTGTTTGTTATTTTCTTATGCAACTTTATTATTATATCTTTTTTACAATTTTTTATTTTATAAATAATAAAAAAATATTTTATTTTGAATTATTTATATTTTCCCCATTTTTATTTTTCCTCCTTTACTTATGTACATATTATTTTATTATTATTTTGTTTTATTCATTTCTGTTTTTCTTTTTTTTAATAACTTATTCCCCTCTCTAGCTCCTTGTTTAGATATAAATTCCACCAATCAAATAAGGCATGTGATCAATGCTTCACCCTTTTTTATTTAATTTGCCGCAACATTAATCACACAATATAAAAATGAGGCATATTAGAGGGAACACCAAACCAAGGATCAGAACAGATCGGTATACACAGATTTAAAGTTTTCTTTATTATTATTTTTTTTTTTTGAAGCAAGAGAGACTAATCGTCAGAGAAAAGAAAGGATGATCGTATCTACGCTTAAAGCAATTAGAATGCACTTTATTAATTCTAACACAAACGCATCCAGTGATGAGAAGAAAAGAAAGCTGAGAAAGCATTGAAACAGATCTTAGAAAACCATCGAAATAGATCAACAGATCAGGGATTGAAAATAAGAAAAAGAAATCGCAGACTTACCTGAGATATGTTCGGCCTGGATTTGTTATTGCAATAGGAGAGATTTGATTGAGCTTGAATGACGAAGGCTGAGGGGCGTGACCGCTAACTTATCAAAAAGGGGGCGATCTCTCAGATGTGAATTTAGTGTGGGACATTAGAAATCCGAGAAGAAATGGAGAACTCCTCGCCATGATATCTTTCCGAAACTGTGAATAGAGTGAGGCAAATCTGGGGAATCACACGAACAGGGAGAATGGAGGAAGAAGAAAGAGAAGAAGATTTGCAACGGCGACGATGGAGCAAACAGGGGAGATGCGGGAATAAGAAGATAAAGAAAAACGAGGATAAGCCTGAGAGAGGGAAAGAGGGAGGTATGCCACCGTTTTTCACTTCTCCACCGCCGTTGCTTCTTGGTTCGAATGGGGAAGAAGATGATGAACAGTAAAAGCCCGGCGGGTGTTCGATCTTGGAAGAGGAGAGGGAGAAGAGAGAGATCGGAGGGGCAAAGAATCACCGTTGTCTTCGAGTCCACCGCTGCAACTAGTTTCTGGCAGAGATGGGGGTTGCTGCCACTCCGCCGCTCTTCTGGGTTGAGTTTGAATGGAAGGGATGAGCTACAGTGACCTCCGAATGTTTCTCCCTTTTGATCCCCTTAATCGAAAGTTTCGGTTTGGCTTTTATAATGAGGTAGGGGTAATTCTGTAATTGCGAGGAGAAATGAGGATATTTTGGTTATTTTAAACAAACTGGGTTAAACCGGGTCGAAAGGTCGAATCGGGTTCTCAGTTTGGTAATGGGTGGTTCTGGGGTCAGAAAATGAAGGGTTGAGATGAGCCTGAATTCAGAGAAGGGTTTTGATGCATGAGGGCTAGTAAGATTGGCCGAAACGGAATCATTTTGGAAGAAGAAGCAAATGGGAGTAGTTTTGAATAAAATTTCATGGGGTAGAGTTTTTGGACATTCTGATTTGATTGGCGGGGTCAGATTGGCCCCACTGGGCCCAGATTGGACAGATCCGGAAAGGATTTGATTTGGTTAATCTAGAGGCTCGAAATAGAATCTTTGTGTGATGAAGGGGCAAATGAATGCAGTTCTGGGTGAAATTTCACAAGGTGTGATTTCTAGGTAATCTGAGGTGATTGGTAAGGCTGGATTGGGCCGGCTAGGCCCGAATCGGGTGGACTTGGAATCTGGTCAATTTGGGACTTTGAAATGGAATCTTGGTTTGATTGAGGGTAAATGAAAGTGTTTTGGGCTGGAATTTCAGGTTTTTTTGTATTCTGGGGTGATTGGAAAAGTTTGATTGGTTTAGATGCATTCGGATCAAGTGGATATGGGTTGTGGTGTAGGAATGGTCGAAATGGAATCTTTGTTTGATGGACGGGTGAACAAAGGAATATTGAGTTCAAATTTCATGGGTAGGTGTTTTAGGATGTTACAAGTCTGATGGTTGTGTCTGATCTAATGGTTAAGGTGTAAGTAAGGGTCGACCGGGGTCATTGGATAGGTATCGGGCAGGTTTAACGGTGGATCTAAGGGCTCTCGGCGTGAAATTTGGGTTTTCTGGGTTTTCGGATGTTTTGGATGGGTCGGAAGGGTCTGATCGGGTGTTTGGGGTGAATTGGAGGCTTAGGCGGCGGACCGAGCAAAAATCGGGTGCTAACAACTGCCCCTCTTTGTTGTGAGGTAGGAAACTACGAAACAACAAAGACCAAAAAGAAGCACACAGAGATTTTTATGAAGGGCAAAGTTAGAAGAGGGGCGAGACCAGGAAAGGGGATTATGACGAAAAGAAGTACCCATGCAACATCATTTCATCATGTTCAGGCCATTTTATTCTTGGCAAAGTGACCCCTTCTAGGTATCAAGAACCTTCGGAATCAAGGCACAATTGTCGTAAAAGAAAATAGTAAAAACAAATGATAATATGAAAACTACTCATTCTAGAAAAAAGACCCCTCCTAGGTATCAAAAGCCTTGTGGAATCAGGGTACATTTGCTACAAAGGAAGGCAACAAAAGCCAATCACAACACAACATCGAAAATAATTCAAGAGAATAATACTTAAGCTCATCGCAAAGCGCAATCACAACACAAACACGCGTATTCTTTAGTAAGCATTTTAAAATCCTTAATAAAACATTTTGGAAACTTAGACAAAGGTCCTGTGATTGACATAGCGTAACTGCTCTTTTGATAGGCGAGAGACATCCTTCCATGTAAGAGCAGTCTACGCTTGAAAACTCGGCAAAACACAAAAAATCTGATGAGGGTGCAAAATGTTATACTTTCAAGTGCGTGACAGTGTCTTGTAAGATTAATGTACGATTAACATGATATCTTGAGTTAGTATCTTCTTCTGTGCTCCTCGGAGAATGATAGAGAATGTCAACACAATAACAAAAACATCAAAGGTTATGAGATTGTTGGACATGTTGCCATATGCCTAGAAATGTAGGAGAATATGTCATCAAGATCCTTATTACCAAGCTTTTTCTTCTCTTCTTATTCTCTCTTTTTTTCTTCTTTTCTTTTTGATATTTTGTGTTGCAAAACGTGTTGTACCATGGCTCAAATAGTAACTTGCTAAAATCGAGAGAACAACAAGATTTATGCTATGCGATGACGCAAAAGAATGTTAATTTCTTTGCCACAATGGCTTTAGTGCCATGAAGGACTTTAGTGATGCGAGGGACTTTCAAATATACTTAACTCAGATAAATGATTTTAAAATTTAATGTGCGATAAGCTGCGATGCAATTAGAAAAGGTCATGCTATGCCATGATGCAACTATCCACAAAACTTTGATATTTTACCATGAGAGACTTTGGTGCCACGAAGGATTTTGACGCCACGATGGACTTCAAAACAAATTTGACTCATATGAACGATTTTAACAAATGATTTTCCTAATCTAATGTGCGATAAGCCGCGATACAATTAGAAAATGTCGTACTGTGCCATGATGCAATTATCCACAAAACTTCGATATTCTGGCATAAGGTACTTTAGCGCCATAAAGGACTTTAATGCCATAACGGACTTTGGTGCCACGAGGGACTTTGACGCTATGAGGGACTTTGAAACAAATTTGACTCGTATGAATGATTTTAACAAATGATTTTCCTAATCTAATGTGCGATAAGTCGTGGTGTAATTAGAAAATGTCATGTTATGCCATGATGCAATTATACATAAAACTTCAATATTCTGCCACAATGGACTTTGGTGCCATGAAGGATTTTAATGCCGTAACGGACTTTGGTTCCATGAGGGACTTTGATGCCACAAGGGACTTTGAAACAATTTTAAACCAGATGAATGATTTTAACAAACGATTTTCAAATCTAATGCGGGATAAGCCGCGATGCAATTAACAAAAGTCATGCTATGCTACGATGCAATTATCACAAAACTTTGATTATCTGCCATGAAGGATTTTGGTGCCATGAAGGACTTTAATGACATAACGGACTTTGGTGATACAAGGGACTTTGAAACAAATTTAAACTGGATAAATGATTTTCAAATCTAATGTGCGATAAACCGCGACGCAATTAACAAATGTCATGCTATGCCATGATATAATTATCACAAACTTTGATTTTATGCCACGAGGGAATTTGGTGCCATGAAGGAGGACTTCTAACTAGGACAAAACGTGGCCTAGGAGAATGGTTCTAAAACAATGGATAAAAGGTTCAAGAAACTTAAACTATGATGGGTATTAGATGCTTGAATCCACATTTCAGGCTTTACTCAAGATTATGCTCTCGTTCTCATTTTTCTTGAATTAAATACTCTTGCAAAACATGAAACAAATTGCTCTTCATGTCTTTAAATACTATGGGATATGCACCCGGGTGATCAAGGAGGGCTTTATTATATGACGAAATGTAAATGGGTAAGGTCAAAACAAAAGCCGAGAACAGATGTCACTACGGAACAATGTCTCATTGGTTTGATCATCACATCTGCCCCATTTTTTTTCTTGTTTGTTTCTCTCTTCATTCTTAGTAGCAATTGGTTGCCCCAGTTCTTATTTGATGCTTTATTTTCCTTTCTTCTTTTTTTTCCACTTTTCTCCAAAATTCTTCTTGTTTCTTTTTTTTTCAAAAGAACTTGTTGAGATTCATACACAATCAAACATATGGCATCCACCTCGTAGGAGGGTCTATCCGAAGGAATGGTTCCTAAAAAGGCTCAAAGGGATAACTAGCGAAATGAATAATAAAGAGGGTTTGGCGAAAAGGGATAAAGCAATCAGCCAAAAGAGGGTCGCCCATCATTTCTCCATCAAATGCACAACCAATAGGGAACAACTACCTATCGAGCACAATTTGAGTTCCATTGACTCAATGATACATTTGTCATTTGACATCCTTAAGACTGAAATGTTCTGAGATTATTCGAATGAGAATAATTCTTTTTTTTCCAAAATTTTTCTTTCTTTCTTCTTTTTTTTCTATTTTTTTCTCAATTTTTTCTAGCCCTTGGAAAAGAAGAATCTTGGGAATTTAATGGGTTTAACAAAGAAGAAGGTCTCATGAATTCAGCTCAATGGGTTAACTAGTAATGTTATCAATGATTGGGGCATCTGGGGAATAAACAGTTGATAATGGCCTCTAGTCCTTTCTTAGATTCATCAGCAAAGCACTAGATAAATATGCCGCTTACATTCTATGCCAACTCAAGAACAAATCAAAAAGAGCGCATACCCCATCTCAATAACTTCAACTTTATGACTACCCTAGTTTGAGTTATCAATGATGGATTCTGATGATGCGCATTTCGGCAGCTCCAAACTGGCAGGTGACTTGGATGCCTGGCTGAATAATTCCTACCTAAAATGTGTCTTGGATGCCTAACTGGATGGTTTCTACCTAGAAGGTGGCTTGAACGCATAGCTGAATGGTGACAAGCTAGAGAGGTGTCTCTGATGCCTAGCTGAATGTGTTAGACAGTTTTTGTATGCCCTTAGCTTCAATCAGAATGATGTACTTTATGAATTTATTGTAAATGAATAAAAGTGCATATTTGATTCATGTTCCCTTAGTATGTTTCTATAAAATACCCTTAAACTGGACACTTAATGAGACTCGTGT